ATAAATTTCACAGCTAATTAAGTTCCTACAGGTTTAATAGGTAGCCAGTTAGAGGAGGGGGGGACACCTTATAAATACCGATTCAGGAAAAGGGTGCACCGTGCGTGTATTAAACATTGGATGAATCACATGGGAAAAATCACTTACAAATGCTCAGCTGGAAGAAAAGGGTCAGTGACAGCTCACAGTTTTTCAGGAACAAATATCCATAGGGAACCACGGTACATTCATTCTGCACCTCACAGAACTACTGCTTTTGTTTTAGTGTGATGTAGGTGGGATGAAAAATTATTTAATTTAGAAAACACTGTAAGAACCCCCCCACAGCCTAAGATCCAGTGGATTTAAGTGGATCTAGCAGGTTTAGGAACTAAGTTTTACACTAGTCCATTTGTTGTTGTCATCCTGCTTGTAACAGAAACCAACACTAGCAGAGAGAGTGGTGGACCACCTGGCACAGGTGCTGAAGAAGGCGAGCGAGGAAAGTCAGGGGTCCAGGGCACATGATCTGTGGGGCAATGTTGTGGGTCCTGGGGTCCTTTCATGTGGCACAGAGGAGACTAAGGGGGAGTGTGTCAAAAAGTGCGTTACAAAGACAGTGGAACCAAACTCTTGGTAGTAACAGATGGTAAGCAAAAGGCAGAGGGAATGGCTACAAGTTGTGTTTTGGGAAACCCGCGCAGGACATTTCTTCAGCAAAATTTCTGCAGCAAAATTTCTTCATAAGGTGAGTAGGGCAGCACTGGCACACGGTACTGAAAGAAATGGTAGAGCCTCCATCATGGAAGGTTTCTAAGTCTCACGTGGGTAGCCTGTTAGCAATAGCACTATTCCTAGGGGGAGGCTGGGCCACACACCTCCAGAGGTCCCTTCAGCCACTACTGCTGTGTGATGCAGAGGAACAACCTGTATGAGCTAAGCTGTAACTTGCACAGTGGCAATGTTTATCTCACCTCAACTTTACCAGAGCATATGTGAACACATTCTTAGTCAGTATTCCATTCTTTGTATAGAAAAATGATTTTATTAAAGTATTTGTGATTATAATTTGCTAAATATAAAAAGCGGAAATTACTTTGTACTGTGTTAAACTTGTGTCAGCCACATCTTGTGCCTCTTGTTCCAGATCTATGTGCAACAAATTGTTTGCAACCAGCTTTGGTTACTGGGATTTACAGAGGCATCAGCAGACTGTGGATAACTCACTGGTTTTCTCTCAAAGTCTCTTCTTGCATAGAGATTATCCAAAAAAGGCCTTTTATATATGGGTCTTTTGAGGCCTCCAGCAACTTATTTTTCTGGATCATTAATTTCTGCAGTCCCTGTGCTTCTGTTAATTTTCTGAGGTAATGTGTTCAGACCCAGGCAAGTTTTATGATTTCATCAGAACTAAAGTATGCTTAGAGCACACTGGATTATAGCTCAATTAATTTTGCATCCCAATTAAGTGGAAGACAGTCTTGTCACCAACAAGTCTCTTTTCCGTGTTAAATCTGTCCTGCTTCAGGTGTGATGCAAAGAATGAGAGTGACGTATGAATAGATGAAGAAAGGCCCAAGCTCCTGTCTGCACTCCTTAAGATGCAAGTCGGCTCCACCCTGGACCTGTAGCCACAGCAGTGAGATACCGTGCTGTTATTTGGGTATTCCCTACCTACTAGCTTCTTCCCTAGCTACTAGTTTCTCCCTACCTACTCGCTCAGCAGAGCACGCAGCATAAATAGAGGAGCTTAGGTGCACCTTACTACTATCCGTAAAAATACCTGCTGTGGAACAGTGAGGAAAAAATTATCCACAAGCTCTCAAAACCAGGGAAAATACTGAAGATCAGAATCATTCCAGCAGCAGGCACAGCTCTAGGGACTGCTTTGCCCCTAAGGTACTGCCTGGTTGGCATGCAGAGAGCATGGACTAAATCTGCCTCGGGCACCAGCCAGCAGTCCAGTAACACTGAACTTCTCTAGCACGGTACTCTCAAGAGGACTGAAAATTACAAGTTTATGCAGGCAGTTTCCTCTTCTGCTTCCAGTATTCATCCTACTATGCTTTGATTCTGATTCAGCTGGAGATTTGATTTTCCCTTTACTCCTGATTATAAAAACCCCACTAATTGTTTAAACTCTGTTGGACAGTTAGCTTTATCCATAGGTCACATAATGGAGTACACGTGGTAAACGACATGCTTTATTTCCAGGTGGCCTTGAATGAAACACATGATTATCTTCCTGTAATCAACTCATTACATTAATTTTCTTGCAGAATTGGTCCAGATGACCTCTTCTTTCCCTTCCTGCAGCTGTGCACAGCAGGACATCCCAGAAGACTGCTGCCTATGCCATCGATGCAATTTTGTGCTTGGGGCCCTTGGGCAGTACATCTCCTTTAGAGGAATTAACGCTACCGAGATTATCTCAGTGCGCACCTACATGAAGACAAACAAATATTTGTGGTACCTATAGATACAAAACTTTGATCAGTGCTATGAAAAATCCTGTTGTGCCATCGCACACCTAAACAAATGAGGTGCAATGTCGCAGACTGACAGCTGTGCAAGGTAGGTCAATGGATCCCAGTCATTCTGTCCTAGAAGGAAAATTAGCAGAGTGACTCACTGGATGCAGCCCTATTCCAAGCCTTCTTCCTAGGGCTGTTGCTGCCTCTTTGAAATCATGTTCTGGAAGGACAGTTTGCAGACCCCACAGACGTCCTGTGGTTTGCTCATCTGTACTCCACTCTTCTGTGGGCAGGGAACCAACGTTCGAGCTAGGCTGGCAGGCTGCTTCTCTTTGTACACAGAGGACTTTTTCCTTTCTGGGTCATTTCCCATATGCCCATTTCTGGGTCATGGACTTTTCATTTTCTGGGTGTCTGACACAGAATTAGATCAGGGCTGTCTCTCACTCACACTGGCATTAGATACAAACTCGACTGCAAGTCAGTAACTCAGCAAATTCTCAACTCTGTCACATCTAAACATAAGGCTTCAATGGACTGGGTACTTCCCATGACCAATTGCTGTCAGTGGTTTGCAGCATTTACTACAAACTGCAGAGGATAAACAGTACAGCTTCTTGTCCCTGAATCACAGGAACAACTGAATCCTGGAATAAATGATTGCTTGCCATTTATTATATATTCATAGGGAACTGAAGACAGGAGAAATGAGAGCCATGGATTTAAACCTCAGCGTGCAACATGAAGAAACCAGCTCCAGTTCATGACCATCTAGTTCCATGACTCTGCCTTCTCTAGTCTTCAGTGCCGAGTGAGTTGGCAATTTTTCTTCCCTCTCAAGAATGAAGAGCAGACAATCTGCCTTCTCACTGCCACGAAAAGAAATATTCCTCTCCCCTTCCCCACCTTCAGATGCCGCTAAGGGAGCTGTGCTGTTTTCTGGGACTTGGTCAACTTTACTTTCTGGTCATGTTGTAACCTTTCTGCATAATAGTATTCACTCTCCCACGGCTCAGCTGTAAATACACCAGGCCTAGGATACAGAAAGGACATATTTCTGGCATAGAATAAGATATTAAACCCCATATCTGATTATTTTAGACCAAGTTACCAGAGCTCTTTGCGGTATTGTATCAGGAATTAATTGCACACACATACACATTGACCTGCTGTGAAATAAGCAGACCAGACACATTTTCCCCAGGAGTAAAAGCTGCCACATACATATTAAATTGGACTTTGATACTGCAGGCAACACCCCTCTGAAACTGCCCAACAAACCTTGAACTGCCCATAAGCAAAGTAGCCCTGCAGACATATGCAAGGCTCCTCCACCGAGCTGGCAGATGGCAGAGGCAGCAGATCCAAAAGAAGCCTAGCGGGAACAGCACAAGGGATGCAGCAGCATTAACAATACACTGAAATAACAGGGAGAAAAAGAAAAGAAAAACGCCAGCCCAAAACTGATAGAGATCTTTAATTTAAAAACCGAGCAAGTTTATTCATTGGGAAAGTGCAACAAAATACCCCAGGGATAGTGCATTCCACTCCAACAATTAAAATCACATTAAAAAAGCAGATAGGAAGGTCTGAGTCTTAAAGAGAACTAGCACAAAAGCCAGTGCTTTTCTTTGTTTCAATGTATTTATCTTTGGGTGACAGAGATAGTCACCGATTAATTTTCAGGTTCTTAATTTACAACTTCATTGCTTCTACTTGCAAGTCATTCTGTTCCTTAGGGATGCTAACTTGGGACTGGAGGACCATAACCTGCAGACACTTAAGTGGGGACAGTTTTGAAAGAGTGAGGATGTAGGGCTCAGTAACATACTCACTCCTGGGAGGAGAGACAGCTGGGAACTACTAGATATTCTAAGTAGATATTGCCCCCAGTTGTTTCTCTCTAAAATCTGAGGTATGCAAAAAAAAAAAAAAAAAAAAAAAATCTAGTTCCACCCATAAGAGCAGCTTCTGGTGCAGCTGAGGGGGTGCAAGCATGCAGAAGAGCACAGGTGCTGCTCAAGGGAGCTGCTAATTTCTGATCACAGATCCAGTTTTTGCAGCAGAAATTTTTGCTCTTGGAAATGCTGCAGGTGAGATCTCACACCCATAGCAGCCTATTCTCATTCATCCCTGTGACTGTACTTCAGCTGAGCTTTACAAGCCGAACAGGAATAACACAGAGCAGTTATGTATATTTTGCTAGCACTTTCTGCCCAATGACTTTAAAACACTTTACGAGCATCACTGAACCAAGCTTAAAATTCTCTGACATACAGATATTTTAAAGGGAACCGAGTACAGTAAACATCTGCAACAAAACAGCAATAGAGCTCAGCTCCTGAGCCCCAGTCCTGAACTTACCCTTCTTTTCCTTTTAAATTCTTTTTCTCCCCCAACCTATTTCTTACAACAAGAAGGACTACATTTATTTTGCAGAAGTTTATTAATCCCAATACAGACAAATGACTTCTAGTATGATTACGTTAGTTCCCAGTTCCACGTGGAGGCTGCCTGTCCAGTCCAGGTTGGCATGATCTCCTGGTCTCAGCTGTCTGCATTTGATTTATGTCTCTTGGCTCTGCTGTTCTCCTGACAGTGACTGTTTTCAGAGGGTGCTTGGCCCTCTCTGTTTGTCCCATTTTCCTCTGGAAATTTCTGACCCTCAGCCAACACCTGCCGAATAGTCATATTAATGCGGGAAGACTGCAAGTACTTGGCACAGACCTGCCAATCCTCATCAGAGCTGTGCTCAATGACTGACCCAATAGGGAGGTCTGAAGAAAGTGCTTGGTCCAGGCACGAAGGCAAAGCTGACCCTTCAGGGCTGGGGAGGACGCGGGGCACAGCATGGTACCGCAGACGGCTGAAGCCAGACATCACCATGATATCTCCACTGTGCATGAACATTGCTGTTGGGGCCTCTTCCCGCTTCAGGCCCCCAAGCAAAAATATTGAGGATTGCCCAAAACTAGAGATGGTATGAGGATGGAGAGAGAAGAGAAAACAAGTTCAGGATGAGAACAATTACATGTACGCTAAGAAAATATTAACAGCCTAATTAAAAAAAAAAAAAAAAAATCCCGAACAAGAAAACTAGATGGACTTCTGGTAACTTCACAATGAGAACACTGAAAACAGACTGAGGCATGGTTCAAGGCAGGCAAAGCATAAGCAGTTGCCCCACCAGGTTTGAAGATCTGCTGAGGTATTTCTTCCTTGCCTGCTAGTACCCAATTGCCACTCTGCTGCTTTAGAACGGAACTGTGCTCTGTGCAAAGAGCTGTGCCACATCCGCGCTACTCAAGCAGTCTTCAAAGAAAAACCTATGCCCTTGAGCTACAGCTTCCTACTATTCAAATCTTCAGAGAGTGAAGATTATATACCCAATTAGCAAACTACACCGTACCAACTTCCTGTTGGCCACCATCAGAGAAAAGCCACCAATCCTTCCACAACACTCCAGCGCTTTCCTTGACTCACCTGAATGATAAAAGGGGCCGAGAATGGTCCAGTTCAGACTCATCCACGTGAATTCCCAGTGAGGAGTCAAAGTGATAGTAGTTCAAGATCCCTGCTTGGGCTTGGAAACCCCGGAACCCACAGGCTGCAGCCACTTGTTCTGACAGGAACGCAAGGTCTGAGGGGAAAGGAGTGTGGTGATTTCCTGAGTATTTCTGGAGGAAGGAGAGTGGAAAAGAACACAAAACAAACCACACCCAGAACATCAGAGCAGCAAATACAATTGGAAATAAACATTGAATGAAAACTCAGAAGTCTGTCTGATAGTCATGGAGAAGGACATCATATTTGCCTGGAAAACGACTACAACAGGGGCAGAACCACAGCAAGTTTACATCTTATCATTTAATTCTGGGCCTATGCCGAGACTACTAGACAGATTCAATTAATCATGGAGTTAATCGTTATATCTGGATGGTAAACTTGAAGTCAGTAGGGTTAGTACCAACATCCTGAGGATCTACTTGGTCACTACCTAAAGCTGCCAATGCAAAGACAGTTCTGTATCTCATCAACAGAGCTCCGAAACAAGCATCTTTGTTCTTTCTTTGAATAATAAGACAAACAGGAATCAATTGCAAACCTACTTTTTCTCTCTCTCCCATGAGTGATTCTGAGAGGACTAGAAGGGAACAACGAAGTTTTTATTAAGGCTACCCAATAATAGGCTGACCTGGTAAATATAAGGCTGCAAGCGGATTTGTTAAGTATCTGCCATATCCTGATAAGACTGCGTGTTCACTCTGCCATCCTTCCTCAGTCTCCGTCTGACTCAATCTTATGAAAAAGTTTATTTTGGTCAGGAGCCCCAAAATAGCTGTCAGTTGGTGAGACTGTACTATACGGGTTCAGACTCTTAAGTTCAAAGTCACATCAGCTGCAGTCTCTTCCTGCTCTCACTCACCCCTCCAAAGGGTAGTCTTCAAGCACTCAAGGTCATTCTTACCTTGAGGAGTTAATGATGCTTTTGTGACCATCCCTTTCGGTAGGGTAAAAATGCTCACTTACCCTGAAATAGTCACAGGTCTAGAGCTGAGCACATGCTACCATGTCACCTTTCACAGGAAAGAACGCAGCAATGGACTTTTGCTGTTAAAGCCTTCACAGTAAACTAATAGAGATTAAAATGTTCTTACAAGCATGGTTTGTTACAGCCTTTCCTCAAGACTGCCTTGTAGGATCATAAGCATTTTATTCCATGATACCCCCTCTGTCTGCCATTCTGTGTGCTTACAGCTATGTAAAATGGAGAAAAACTTAATTTCAGTACCTTAGTATCCCAATTATAATGATAACCAAGGGTCACCCAGCGCAGCTTCTCCAATAAGCTTCTGGGCTCCCGTTTACCGGAACCTTTCCTTCTACAAAGACAAAATGGAAAGAAATAGGGTGTTAATTCTGAGGGGTTTTCTGGTAATGCAGCATACAGTAATGAGATTCACTCATCCATATGACAGCCTATTAAAACCACCAATGCTAAACTTCTGGTTTTAGTGCCATCACTTTTTTCCTCCAAACACCTTGAAAATTCAGTTCTTGCAATTTGTGCAAGCTATAGGGCCTCCTGCCAACTGCTGTCAGTTTGAAAGCTTGTATTTTCAACACGGTACATAACGGGTTATTGGATGGAGACAACACAATGAACTGCTGCAGATTTAGAAGTCAGAATTAAGCATGTACTATTTAGGCACCTGAAAGTGAAAGAACAGAGTCTGTGAAGATCTAAAAGCTGCCAACACAAAGGAAAATATTCTAGGCACTTAATGAAAAATTACAGGAAAGGACAATGCTTTGCCTGATAGTGAAGCGTATCAAGCTGTGTAATACTCCAAAGGACCTGTTAGTTCTACTACTTCGTACTTCTACAAGAAGTCCTTAGGATGGACTGACTCAGTGTTTAGTAAGACATAAGACTGCCCTAGCTAGGACCATACACTTCTTGTCATGTCAAGAAGTCTAGATTGCAGGTGTCTCCTATCCAGACTGCTATGCAGGACAAAACCCTGTTCTTCTCAAGTGACAACCCTAGTGCAGAGGGACTCGGTGGTCTGAAGACACGTGACAATTTACCATTCTTATTTGAAGGTGGCGAAGGCAGGAAGAGACCTCAGGGAGAGGCTTTTACTACAGCCTACAGAAAAGTCCATAAAAAATGCTACAAAGAGTAGTACTATAATAAGTCAGATAGAAACATGCTAGTGACAAATACAGAAAGGAATTTACACATCTATCTTCTAGTCCACTTATTCCAGCAATTCCAACTTCTTTTGTCAAGCCAAGTCATGTATTATGGTAAAGAAAGAAAGGAAGAAAAGGGAAACGTACTCAGAACATCATGATAAACAGCAGCACCAGATGGCTGGCTCTCATTTATAGCCTCATTAGTTCAGTAATGCATGCTCTCTTACAAAACAGGATTCGTGTTTGTGTTGCCATGGTCAAGTCTCAGCCAAGCATCTGCATTTAATGTGCATTTCTACCTGCATACACAGCTTGTTTCTGCCCTTCACCTATACCGTACTGATAGCTCCTAAGCTAAGCCAGGAATAGGAGTAAAAGGCCAGTTTCTTTACCTTTAGTAATTTTTCATATCTCACTGATAATTGAAAGAAAGTAATCTTTCCAGTTTCCATCTTTGTCACAGAGTAATAGCAACTGCAATTACCATAATGCAGCAACACAGTAACTGTCAAATACACGCTGCTTGGAACAGTTTATGGAGCCCACTAGCAGGTAACACAGCATTTAGAAAAGGGAGAGCCCACAACTTGTTCCTCTACATCTTTCAGACAACAAACAATGCTCATAATTAAAGATGTTTAGCACGTGCCTTTTGAAAGTGCCCTTCTTTCGCTACAGCGCTAGAGTGTTTGCACAACAGCAGGAACCCTAATACGCTCGGTAGGTCCTTACTCCCAGAACTTAGCATTTTGTATGCGATTGCTAAGGAGAGGAAAGTCTGAGTGTTATGGATCTGGAACAAACGAGTTCCTAGAACTGTAGCAGCAGGTGCTCCTACAAGAAAGCACAGAGAAATTCTGGTATAACCATGTTAGAAAGAGAACAAGACTGAACAGCAGGGGGGCTTTGGTCTGAAGCTCCTTTTTTTCTTTATTTGCTGGTAAATGGTTGCATCTATAAAATCCCCCCCAGCCTTTTCCTTATACACAAGGATATATATATCCCTTGTAGGGATGCTCTACCCCCTTTTATGCTTTTAATTGCCCCCAGCACTAAGAAAGTATCCCAATTCGTGGAGAGAGCATAACATACATTTCTAGGAACTGTATGGACTCTCCCTACCTTGTGATTCCTGCATCCTGAAAAGAGCAGAGAAGCCATGACCCAAGCACATTTATGCATCTTCCTGATGGCTTTAAAAAGCATTAAAGTTGTGTCCAGTCTTGGAAGTAGACCTCTTTTTAATTAAGCACTCTGTTTCTTCCCTCCCTGAAAGGCTCTCACTCCAGATACTAGACAAGTTGGCTAGTTTGATCCGCTATCCCCTAGGTAAAAGCACAAATACAGCAGGTCGCTCACTTGAAGGCCCAGGCAAGTGCTTAATACAACTGCTGGTGTTTCTGCCAGCCATCACTCTTCCAAACACTGTTTTCAACTGAACTGGATTCAGCTGCAAATTAACCTCCATTCAGGAAGTGCTACTGGGAAATGCCTGTCAAGCTGGAACGGTACCGCACTTTTTCAGCTGTGGGGCACAATGCACAATACTTTCAAAGAACAATTTTTCATCCTTGATGGAACACAAAAAAGGAGTCTGAATTTCTGTAACTAATTTTGACTGAGTCTGGAAAACACAAGTGGGGGCATAACTTCTCTCCTAGGTACAAATATTTAGAAGTTGAAATCTTGCTTTTGCCATTCTATCTCTTGTAGATGTTAAGTGTATTTTTGAAGAAAAATCTCAGCATGTCAATTTTACTAAGAGACTGAGGTAGAAGATGATAGTTGTAGGACACTCTGGTCACTCCATCATGTGAAACAATTGTTACAAAAAACGAGCAGATAAATACCCACATAACTCAAAGACTGTGTACTGTAAACAGCATCTATCTTGTATATGTTTTTATAGGTGACTAATTAAAAAGTCTTTAAAACTTTCTACTTGACTTCAAAACTTGGACAAATTCTCCACTAACTTCCAAATCAGATAGAGGAAAGTCAGCTGCGTCAGCCACAGAACTCCAAACCTGTGGGAATCAGAGTAAATGGGATTGCCTTTAAAATGGTACATTTAATCACCATCTCAGACTGAATGGAAAAAAATCCAAACCAAAAATAAGCAATACTTTGGAAAATGAAACCACAGAAACTAGCAGACTTGAGAAGTTCAAAGAAGTGCAGATAACTGCCTTTCAACTACAGTATACTAGGTCCAACAGCCGACTGGGAAGAAGAGATAGCAAGAGGACAGTGTTTGGAAAGGACCTCTTTTGCCTCAGGAACACTGAGGCCTAGAGGGACCTCATGGTTCCACTTGCCGCTGAGCTTAACAAGCTTCCAAGCACCACGATACCAGCCAGGGTCACTATTTTACATCTGACTAACAGCTTTGGAATAATTTGCTACTCGAAAATCCCACTGCGAGTGTGAAAGCAGAGAATGAACAAGGATGCACAGCAAGCCTTGAAAAATCCATCTTTAACTTGGCATTCTGACACCATCTGTATACTGCCAGCATGTACACCATCTTTTTCAGCTTCTCTTCCCTGCTCGTTTTTCTTGAGCCTTCTCAGAGCTGAGACCTGGCTGTTAGTTTTGACCAGCAAGGTTATTGTAGACTTACCTCAGCTGCTCCTTGCTCTGTCCCCACAGGTCAATGGTCTTCTCAGGAGCCATGTGCAGGTCCAGGTTGCAGACATTTGGTTTCTGGGGGTAGAGCTTGAGACACTGTTTCACCCAGTGACGCTGGCAGCCCGGAAGGAAAGGGTTTGGTATGAAAATAAACCCTGACCACAGAGAAAAAGGGAGGGGGTGGGGAGAAAATATGATTAGGCCTTTACCTGTTTTTTCTAAAACTAGAGCAAAGGACAGGTGTCAGAGGTACTGAAAAAAACACCTTAGACATACAACCACTGATTCTGCACGTGAGCTGATGAAATCTATTAACAGGTCTGAATAGTCAAGATAAAACCTATTGTTTCTTTCAGTACAAAGAAATGGTGGCCATAAAGTAGAAGGCAGGGAGGGCAGACAATGCTGGTCCAAGTAAAAAACAACAATGAAGGACATACCTGTGTAAGGCATATTGATTACAGGTAGATAAAGGAGTAAGAACTTGGAAAGCCAACTGCTTTGGAGTAAATTTGATTTTGAAATGATTCAGCAAGATTTTTCTCTTGAACCCTGTGAAGTTAAATTAATTCTGGCCTAGTTTTTCTAGACTTCAAACTAACCTTGTTGCTGCCTCTGAACTCATACTGTCTTCTTATTCCTCCTTCAGTGTCACAAACTGCAGAGAGCAGTCCATAGGCTGAGCCAGCCTCTAGTAACGTAAACTGTCCTCTCCTTTGCTATATGCTTTTTTCCAGGACAGTCTGGTTGTATCCATCCTTGTATTTTGGTATGGTAATACTCAAAGGGGATGAAAGTCAAATTATATCCAAAGCTGCCTGTTGCTGACTGCAAATACTTCGCAGCCTTTGTTAATTACAAAATAAACATGTAGCTTGTCTGCACATTAATTTAGCCAGGCATCTCAGGCAGAGTTCAAGCAGCAGCCCAAATGAGAGGGTTAGCAGAGATGTAACGGATTGATTTGGTCTATATCTCAACAGACAAGAGTCCTTAACAAAAGATCTGCCATCACCAGAAGTGCTAACAGGATTCTTCACTGGAATTTTCTCCCTAGCACCCAGGGGTGTTTCCTTCCAGGCCAGGGCCGATGGTATTGATGAATCAATGTCTGACGGGAAGATGCTATTAATCTGTATTGTACCTACTCTAAGAATCAAGGCACTCTCTCAAAGACTGTCAATTCAGTAAGACTCCCCAACACAAAATTCATATACAAAGAGAGATAAGGTTACAAGAGGAACAAAGGAAAAGGAGGTTTCAAGGTTTTTGCCATACTGTGTCTTTCTGAACTCCTTAGTTGTATCAAGTTAAACAGAGACAAAAATAGATGAAAAAGGGAGAACCAAGGCTAGGAGTCTCAGTAGGATACAAACTTGCCTTGTGGCCTTATGAAAGTGGTAATAAAAGCACAGAAAAGCTTCCTGCTAGCATATCTCACAGACCTCACAAGATTAAATTAACTGGTTAGAAAAAGAGCCTTCAGTGTATTAATAACATACTGTCATTCATTTCACTCCATTCCCTGCACCTTCAGACTATGGCAGCCTTCTGATAGCTCTGGTTACAAGAAGTTTCTTTGCCAGAAGCATTAAATTTACTTTCTGTTGGCCTCTGCATAGAGCAGAATAATAATATTGCCCTTCTTGTCTACAGCTTTTGATGTTCTCAAAGCACTTAACTACGTTCATGAAATTGCGCTCTACTATGTACGTATTATCTCCAGGTATTAATGAAGGAATTGAAGCCTGGAGGGCTAGTTACACACAGTGCTAGGAACAAGAATCCAAATTTTATGACTCTTGTATCAGAAGCTTAGAACATGCTCATGTCTCTCCAAACCTTTCATTGCTTACTCCTAAAAAAGCAGATTAGTCTACACTTACAAAAGTGGGAAGTGGGCTACTGCTATGCTTCTGATGTCAAGAAAGGCAGAAATCCCTGAATTTCTAACAGTTGCAAGTTTTACTATAAAATTCTACACTAACATTCAAGACTAATAGTTCCTGGGAGGGCCAGTAGTGCTAGAAATCAGTGACTTACCATGCATGAGAGGGAGAAGAGTAAGAAATATATTTCTGTAGCAATCTTTCTGAGCTGGCTAAAGAACACCATAGTCAAGCTTTGAAGGCAATACAATTGAACCTCTTGTCCTTGAAAGAGTTTGAGTGGAATGGCCAAAAGACAAATTCTTTGGGGATCTGTATACTAAAGGAATCTGCCTTGAGGAAACAGATGCAATTCTCTTACTGCAGCAAAATCTTGTGGCACACTAGGAATTAATTTATACCTCGTGAAAGTGGTCTCTGGCCTCAGTCAAAGGAAGGATAAGACACACAGATATCTAGCAACAAGAACAGTCCCTCATAAAACCAATTTGTGTCAGTTACAAAGACCCAAACACAGCATCACCTACACCTCACAGAATTCAGGACACCGCAACAGAAATTCACCTGGCTTCCTTAGTCTGGTATTTCACTGTGGGGACAAAACCAAATTACTTCCCTTCCAAACTAAAGAAATTCTAACTTATTTTAGAGGGCTACTGGGGTAGTTGGTTAAATATCTTACAGTGCTTTAGGATGTCCAGATAAACATAGCTGGAAAGGGATAAAATATTGTTCATGTGTGACTTGATTCTAAACAGGACTAAGAATTTGTTAATGTATTTGAATTTTGTTTTAGTGAAACTCTTTCTTTGTCAAAGAAGAAGAAAATGCAGTTAAATGGAATACTTGTGATCCCCCACCATGTAACTGCTCGGAAAGACATTTAGACAGGCATAAAACAACAAGCGAGACCAAGCAAGGGCAGCTATAATATGACAGGTAAGTGGATCAAAAAACTTGAGAGGCAGAAGAGGTGGAAGCCTTTCTCCTGAAGTTATTCAATTCCCTGTGTATTCATCATGCCAGATGGCTAGTGTGACTGCTTCAGTTTCAGAAATGGTAGGCTGGCTTTATAGCAACCCACACAGACACTGACTGCAGTCTCAATGAACCAAAAGAAACATAAGAAAAAACTAAATCGAACAAATAAAAATCCCTGAAATAAGGATGATCTGGGGAACTACAAACTTATCAGCCTTACCAAAAGCCCTGGTGAAGTTATGGAGCAAACTTTAATGACAATCATTTCCAGACACAAGGTGGTTGGGAACAGCCAGCGTGGATTTACTGAAGGCAAATTTTGTCTAACCAGCCTTACTGCCCACTACAGTGAGATGCCCAGACAAGAAGAGAGCAGGTGATGCTGTTTACCTTGGCTCTTAGCTGAGTTTTCCAGTCAGTCTCCTGCAGCATGACTGGAGCCAAACTGGGGGCTCATAGATTTTACAGGTAAACTAGAAGGGTGAACAAAAGCTGGTTGGGCCACGAGGCTTAAATAATAGCGACTTGATGGTTCAAAGTCTAACCAGTGGCTGTTGGGGCCAAGACTGATAACTACATCAACAACCCAGAAGACGGGATATTCATCCTCATCACACTTACAGATAACAGTAAATTGGGGCAGCAGTGGATACGCTGAAGGCTACTGCTGCCACTGAAAGGGACCTTGACAAACCAAAGGAATGGATCAACAAGAACCTCAGGAAGTTCAATAGTGATAATCCTGCACCTGGGGCAGAATAACCCCATGCAGCAGTACGGCCTGATGACCAGGGAGCAGCTCTGAATCAAATGACCAGGGGGTCTTTGAAGACAAATTGAGCCCCAGTCCGCAGCGCACCCTTGTGGCAATAAAGGCTGATTACACAGCGGCCTATATGAGTAAGGGGCATCATAGAGAAGGTGGCACCAGATTCTTCTCAGAGCTGCACAGCACAACTATGAGAAACAACAGTCACAAATTACAGCAAGGCAGATTTTGATTAGATAAGGTGGAAAAAAAAAAATCACAAGAGTGGCCAAACACTGGAACAGGTGCCCTGAGAGAGGGTGTATAATCTCTATCCTTGAAGATTTCCAAAACTCACCCACCCATACAAAGCTCTAAGCGACCTGATCTAACTTTCAACTTGACCCTGCTTTAAGCAGGGACTTAGACTAGACCACTGGAGGTCCCTTCCAACCCAACACCTTTCTGTGATTCTACCAGGTGACCTGCAAACCTAAGATCCATTTCAGAGCCACCGAAATAACCTGCCTAATGAAATTACTCTGTACCTTAAATAGGACAAGAGGTTCTTACTCGCTTATTGTACACAGTGTTCTACACCAGCAAGTAGCCAGCACACTTCAGCCCTGAAATGACTGTATTTCAGTCAGTTATTTGATTTTCATGATATACGTTGAAGAAAAATAGATGCTACAGAAATATAAAATCTCTATCAAAGGCAACAGGAATCCATTCTCATGAGGAATGGTCTGGTGGACCAGAGACTGTGAAACAACTGGCCCTTCTGTTCTCACCTTCATATATATTGCCACATCCTACCCTTCAGCTGACTTGTTTGTCCCCTTGTACCTAAAATAACATTAAATTACACTTCAGCAAACCAAAACAGCTTTTTCAGGCAGGGCAAGGAAGGTAAGACGGAAGATGCTTGAATCTGAAGCAACAAGGTTGTGTTTAATTTTTCTTGAAATCAGAAATACCTACCTGGGTACCCATTGAGGCCATAGGCTTTCCACTGGCTAATTGGCTGTAATCCTGCTCTGTAGGCATCTTGATCACTGACTGAAGAAATACTGAGCTGTGATCTGAACACCTAGCAAAAGAAGATAGATCTGGTTAAAAAAAAAAAAAAAAGGAAGAAAAAAGGGAAAAACTCATCTAAAATTAGCACCTGTAAGAAAGAGTACTACCATATTCCAAGGTAAGTCTTGTGAAAACGCCAACTGCACCACAGAACTATTGTATAAGCAACTGTGACCAGAATAGGACATGCTGCTAACAGAGCTAGAATATACTGAACAGAAGAATAAAAAGGTACCTACAGCTTTTACAATACTTAAGGATCAGGAGAAATATCGTTCATTCATAAAAAAACCTCTCAAACAATTGATACCAATGAGAAAAAAATTTGGCACTATTTATCCATTTCCACGGTAAAGCATGACCATTATAAAACATTCTGGTAATTATCAATCTCCATTAGACAGCAATATTTAGCACCCATAACACTTTAGACCTTCAAAGAGTGTTCCAAATACAAGTTGCTCATGATCCCATACGGTATTCTCGGGTGTAATTTACAGGAGGAGAACTAGTACAGTGATGAAGTGGCCAAAGTTGTCTGATGTGAAGGATGCAGAAACCCTGTAAATTCTGAATACCACATTGCCACTTCCATGTCCAACAGCAGGGTCGACAGCTCAAGGCTTAGGGATATAGTTTCTTGACGTACTCTCTTGGGTTACAATAACACGTGTATAAGCTGTAATAAGCCAACACTTGCTGAAAAAAACAAACTCATCTACCGTGTTCCCACTCCCTTCTTCCCTTAGGGCTGGGAAACATCTCAGGGAGGGCAGGGTAGAGGCAGATTGGTTTTGTTCTGGTCCGCAGTCCAGGTCTCCATGTGGCTGTGCAAAAGCACAGGCTTGTATAAAGAAATAGCTGACCAGGAATACCGGGAATAAGCAGGCAGAGACAGGCAAGGCTTTGTTTATGACAATTTAAAGTGTATATGAAATTAAGGCCTTTTCACACAGACTCTGCAGCGGCGACTGTGTAAATCTGTCTCTCTGCAGGCTGACAGCTCTGGTTAACGTCTTCTGAGCAATGGGGCTAAACTGCGTACATAGAATTTGTAAGAAAATTTTAAACTACTGCTGGGCAGCAGCTTCTGGCAACATGCTCTGTTTTACCAATTTTTCAGCTCTCTGCTGAAAGCAGCTTTGCGACTGCCAGCCTTGAAAAGCTTAGTTCAGAGTCCTGTCTGCAGAATGCCCCCAGGAAGGCTCTTCCTTTGACTAAGGCTCTGCCTCCTCTCTGTCTGCTCAAACTGCTTATGCACCACTGCTGCCAGGCCTTCTGGAGAACAGGAGCTGTTTCTATGCTGAAGAATTGCATCTGCTGAAACAGTTAAACCCAGTGGCAGGGCAGCTGGGGTAGTCACACTTTACTGAAGAGCACAATCACTTGAAACAATTTTCTGAGAGAAAAGGAAAAAGAGTATCTGGGCCAATCTGCCTGGCCTGTAGCTCTCCTTAAAGAGAAAAGCCAGATGTTTTTAACCTAGGGGAAAGAGGATTAAAAGATGCTTCCACTAGTAAGCTACCAACTGATCTTAGAAGGTAACAGGCACAAAAAGAATGATATGGAGAGGGGACAGATACTTGCAATGCTTTCAAGTACTTCAAATTTCCCAGAAGGACTGTAATGCTGGAATCCTTTATTTGATAAAGGACTGCTGCAAGCTCAAGAAAGGCTGAAATGTTAACAACTCCCTTGTTTAATGCTAACGCCATGAACAATTTCATATGGGTCAGGTTTTGTGTCCCATTAACAATATCAAAATTATAGCCTGAAAAGATAGAAAAATATATATTCCAATAGGACAGTAAGAAGTAAAGGATAAGCATTTGAACCCTGAAAAATTAGGCAAAGTTTCATTTTAACTATATTCCCTACTGCTTTTTTTTCATATAGGCTCATATGTAGAAAATCCCCCATTAACAATACTTCAGCAGATATCAGTTATCATTTTGTGAGGTGACAAAGCGCAAGATGAGTTTGAAGGATCACTTCTCCATCACTCGAGACATGGTAAACTACTGACCATAACAGACACTATTTTCAGACGTGTTCCTGACTGCATGTCCCTAATCCACTGCAACGGCTGGACTTGCCCTGATGGCTAAGCCAAATGTTTATTGTAAGGGAGTAAGAAAGGAAAAGAAACTTTACCAAGGGGAAGACAGCAAGAACCTTGAGCTTGCACTGCACGACGAGTGTAAGCTCATTCCAGCTCCTTCTTCAGCTCACCCAGGTATTTCAGGGCCAAGACAAGGGCCAGTAGGCCCAGGAAAAAGTGTCAGCTCCAATAGTGAAACTTGCTTTTTTCCATCCACGTATTCCTTTGCTTCCCTTAAGTAGTGCATGGTTCTCTTGGAGGCTTTGGAGATCCCTTCCTGCAGCGCCGAGAGCCCATTAAACATTATGGGAATGACTAAACCAGCAACAGCGGTAAATCTGCGAGCAGGGGGCGTGCTGCCCAGGGGCGCTGACAGAGCACCTTGTGCCCTCGGGCAGAGTCCCATAACCCCGCAGGCAGCCGGCCCAAGGGGCCCCTGCGGCCCTGCGGGCAGAGGGGCCCTGGGCGCTCCCAGCTGCACACCCTTCCTCTGCGGCTCCTCTCGAGTCACGCCACTAGTTCTGAAAGCTTACAGCGACCCGCGAGAGGCTCAACGCCGGAGGGCAGCGTCCTCCAGCCGGTAACGGGTGGGCATTAGAGGCCTGGCGCCGAGCGCGAAGGGAAGCAGCAGGTGGGGAGAACAAGCTGCAGCACCGCAGCTACAGCACCGCGCTGAAACACCGCGACACCGCTCAGAGGGCGGGGCGAGCTCGGAGCGCGCCGCCCGGCCCCTCGCCACCGGGCGAAGGCAGGAGGACCCCGGCGTTACCTGGGCCCCCGGCACGGAGAAGTCCACCACTCCCAGCAAGTCCGACGCGTCGCGTTGCCGGTAGAAACGAAAGA